GAGAGAGAGAGAGAGAGAGAGAGAAGAGAGAGAGAGAGAGAGAGAGAGAGAGAGAGAGAGAGAGAGAGAGAGAGAGAAGAGAGAGAGAGAGAGAGAGAGAGAGAGATTGAAACGCGACGGAGTCGAAGAGGTGGTAGCGACGGCAGTGCTGCTGCTGCTACTGCTACTGCCGGCTGCTGCTGCTGCTGGTACCGCTGCCGACTGTGGTGCTGGTGGTGGTGGAGGTGATGGCAGTGGTTCTGGCGGTGGTGGTGGTTGTGCCGATGGTGGCGGCGGCGGCGCTCGAGGAGGGCGGAAGACCACCTGGCAGCGCGGGGCGGAAAGAGCGCGAGAAGGACAGGATGATGCCGGGTTGTAGGTTGAGAGGGGCTTCGGAGGGGCAGGGAGGAGAAGGTAAACGGAGCGGGGGCGGACGGGGGGAGGCAGGGTGAGTGAGTTCGAGTTGGTTCCTGGGCGACTGCGCCGTTCTCCAAGTCGATGATCGCTGCAAAATCTTCCGTCTCTCTCTTTCTAGCGAAACCGGCGCCTCTCTTCTCTTTCGGTGCGTTCTCTACGCGCGCGTTTCTCACTTCCACGCTTGTGTACGGATAAGGTATGTATGCGCGTCCGCGCGCACTTCTGTGTATGTACGTATACACGAGTGGTAGATATGTGTTGGAACGGGAGGGTGAAAGCGCGCTCGCGCGTCCGTGCGGGCGCTAACGAAATTGGCAAAATACGCTTTGCTCTCCTTCAGAGAAGCGCGGATGGAAACGACCGTCCGTCCGTCCCTCTCGAACTCGCCATCGGCATCGCATCGTGTCGTCCCTCTTTCGACCGACCGACCGACCGACCGACCGCCACCGCACCGCATCGCATCGCACCGCACCGCACCACCGCGACGTCGAGTCTCTGCTGCGGGAAAAACGGTCGGCGGACGAGAGGATAACGCGGAAGTTAGTGGCGATCGTCCGGTGCGATCTTCCGTACATCGCGCTTAATCCTGTGGCCCGGTAATAGGATCGGCCGGGGTGATCCCTCCGGGAGTATCCGGCGCGACTCTCGAGATTTTCGAATTTATGGGGGAATTGCGGGCGTACGTACGCTCTTCTCGGACGCCCCCGCCGTATGGAATATGCTCTTCGCCATAAATCCGAAATTCCGAGTGGCCCGAACGACGTCGGGTTTCCATTGTTGGGACCGAGGAGTGTGTAAGGAGAGAGTCGTCCCGCGATTGTCCTGCGAGACCGCCCAGTGACACTTGCCAGGAGAATCCCCGAGATATATTTTATTTATAAATCAAATCATATTTCGTTTCTCATCATTGGATTGATGTCGGAGCATACGAATGTAAACTCGGTTCTCGTGCTTTCTGTCATAATATTATGCATCTCGTAATTACATTTTATTTATATTACATTTTATTCTACATGCGGTAATATTTTTCATTAAAAAAATTACTATCTGCTTTTCCGCGTAATACACACAGAGCGACGCGGCTTGAAATTATTAGACGAAATTATACGAAAAACATCAGAAGCAACAAATCGGTACCTATTGTTCCGACAACATTACGGCATAATCTTCGAGACAAATCGCGCAAACGGAAGGAACAATATTACAGCAAATGAATGTAATTAATTTATATCTCAGTCTTCGTGATATGTAGCTAAACAGCGTAATACTCGGAAAATCTCGGGATGGGTGTTATTCCTTATTTGAAGCATAAGCTCGGTATCAACTCGCTCGTAGCGGCGTAATGGGCTTCTCCTACGCGTTACGTCAAAAAAAGACGTAAAAGGAGTAAAAAAAAAAAAGAGAACGACGGGCGTTTCGTGCAGCCACTCTCGCACTCGGGAAGGAGCGCGCCGCGGCCCCCACGGTAGCGAAAGAATTTCTCTCGCATTTCGAGTTATTGCACTTGACAGGTTTCTCGCCCCCTCGCACTCACACCCGCCCGCCCGTGCTACTTCGGCGAGTGCCGGCGAGAGCTTGCGGCGAGAAACGGGAAATGGGAGGATAAGGCGAAAGTTAGTTGGTGATCGTCCGTGCATCGAGCTTTAATCCTTTGTCCCGGTAACGGGATCCCGGCGTTAAATCCCCCTCTCCCCCTCCTATCCTCTCTCACAGTCTCCACATCCGCGGAGGATCTTTCGTACTTGTCCAAATAAGGGCAGTAATTTAACACCGGAAGGAAGCCGAGCGCGAGCTCGGTCATTTCCACCGTCGGCGAATTTCGAGCGTCGTAAAATCCCGAATCTCTCCCGCTTGACTCGATTGACTTTTACATTATTTTCTCGTCTTTCAGCTGGCTCGCCTTTATATTTGACTTTCAGTTGTGTTGTAAACTTTACGATTATACGAAGATGATGTTTTAATCCTTCGCGGTCCTATGTCGAAGTGAGCACCAAGTATTTTGCAATAATCTACATAGTTTTCCAAACACTTGAAGTTGTACATTGTTGCAATGAGCGCAAATTATATTTCCTCAATTTATAAAATTTTGTAGATGAAAAGAATTAATTTTTGTCGTTTTGTATTTATCTTACCTTGACAGCATTGAGAGATAAGAACAAAATACTCGATATCGACTTGTCGTAATAAATTGAGGTCGCGAAGGATTTAACATCGCAAAGACTACAATAGTTATTTTTAAAAATACCGGAAAATTTTGGCCGAATAAAATTTTGTTCCTTCACTCGACAGACCTCTCCGTTCCGTCTACTCGGATCTTATATTATTCAACTTTAACGGACGATAGCTTTCGCGGTTGTCCATATAACGCGGGCAGTCCTTTAACGTCGAAAGGACCCGTAGCAGCCATTTCGACCGCCGGCGAATTCCAAATGGGTAATCCCACTTGGTTACTTGATAGAGTTTTGCGGTTTTTCGACTTTCCGTCCGCTCTCTTACGCGATCTCTTCCGTTTTTCGCGGCTCTCTCGCGCTTGTCCAAATAATGCGGTCGGCCTTTTAATACTGAAAAGGTCGAAGCGGCGATTTTGTCCGTCGGGGAATTTTAAACGCGAGTAATCCCGCTTTCTACTCTCGAGAAATTCCTACATTTTTCAAACTTCCGCGCTCTTTAATCTTCAGCGGTAATAGGAACTGCTATATAAATAGCCTTCTTTATTCCAAAAAAAAAAATTGCCGCCGCATAAATATGAGAGTCCTGTAGTAGTTCTTTCAGGAAAAGTGCATCCACGCGGATTTTGCTAATTAATTTGAGCGACTTTTCAGTTGGAAAAAAAAGAAGGAAAGAAAAAGAAAATCCTACTCGTCGTGAAAAGAGCGTAAACGTCGGCGCAAACGATATGCATCGATGTTAAACGCTTGGATCGAATCGAAGTCGCGTCTTCGTCGCGCTCTTCGCATAGTTACACGTAACATAAAGCAGCTGGAAGAGTGTTTCGCATAGTTTCTCGTTGCCACGAGATACGGGCCGTGATATCATAGAATCTCTTTCGCATTTGTGAAGTTATCGCGCTCGGCGGCTCTTCCTTCTACGCAGATAGAATAGTTTTCCATACAACGCGAATTTCTGCTTTTCTTATGTACAATACATATGTACGTGCAATATTACATACACTCGCTCCGTGATAATGTTTTGATCCCGCGATTCGACCGCGAAAGAAAAAACGAAGATAAACACCGGAGACTCGGTTAAGATCCGCCGCCGGTGATCGTTGGAGATTATTTCCAGCGTATCGGGCTAAATCCCGTAATCTGATAACAGGATCAGCCGGCGTGAAGTTCTCAGACCTATCGGAATTTTCGTTGGCTTTATTTAACACGCTCGATGTTGCGCGGATATCGCACTGCCGGTTTTACGACGACCTGGAAGGTCACCTCGCGGGCGCCGGGAAATTGCAACAATCATTCTGACCCATTAGCTCGGAAATAGAAGGAGCAGGAGCATCTCCGACGCGAGACATATGCTCCTTCAATATTTGATTGTCTGCCCTTGGGCATTCTTAAGAACTCCAACAAATAGATTCCCCGCTCTCTTTACTCGATGAAATATTGAGGGTGGAAAATGGAAGCCACTCAAACTGATCGCGGAGCTCATCGGGCCGCCAATACGCTCTCTAACGATCGAACTTACTCTACTTCTATTTAAAGCGTTGCGAGCGATATGGCGATGCATTCGGAATTCGTTGGATGTTTAGCTGTTACGTCGATTAAATAAATTTTCGACGTCAGCGATCTGAACGGCGGTGGGGCGCGAAAGAGAGAACGCGGCGAAAACATTAAAGAGTTTCCTCCACACTCGCGGGAGTTTCCGC